AACTGAATGTGTAAATTTTTATATATGTTTCTAGAATGATGTGTTGGTGCTTGTGTTAATAGTTGATGTCATTACCTTGTTAGCTTTTAATTTTTTTTTTATTAATGCTTCAATTTTTTTTACTCCTTTATTACATGTCGATGAGGCTATTATACTGATATAACATGGCGTATGATAGGTTTTCGGGCCTGTTTAAAATTCCATTATATATATATATATATATATATATATATATATATATATATATGTGTGTGTGTGTGTGTGTGTGTGTGTGTGTGTATTTAAGCAGCTTATTTTCAGTTGAAGAGGTTTGGTTAAATAATTTAGACATACGATGCCTATTTATTTTTGTTTAATCCTTTCGAGTCCACGAATAAATTTCTTGGTCGCTTTAGAAAATTGATTAAGAAACATACCAAATTTTTTTTCAGTCAGCTTCTATTTTCCCAAGTACTTTCAGTCCCATCCGAGGCCATCATTAGGGTGTTAAATTGTCTGTATATATAAGTATTTCCATAAATTCAAAACATTTTACTGTTCGTTTTACTGCCCTTATGCAAGGCAGGCAAGTATTGTATATTTTAATTTATTGTTGTTTATATATATATATATATATATATATATATATATATATATATATATATATATATATATATAATTTATAAAAATAAAAAGCAATTTATTAAATAGCTATGTTAATATTTTAATGGTGAAATCACTTCGCTAACAGAACTTAATGAGACATTAACTTACTTTCAATTCCTTGAATAGGATCCTTTTATTCGAGTTTAGCGAAGTGATTTCGCCTTTAATCACATTAACATTGTTATTTGAATTTTATTTATAAAAGTTGTTTTTATGATATAAAATATAAGCTGCACACTCTAAATATATTTACGACATCAGATCTGCAGCACACTAATAATTGTAATCTTAAATTCTGTGGAAAACTAATAAGATTTTTTTACTCTACTAATTGGATTATACTAAGTCCATTTCGCTTTAACATATAAATGCATATAACAAGAAAATTTCATGGATTTCTAACATTTCAAAATTTAAAAAAAAAACTTCTCATTTGATCGATTTGAACAAGAACTCTAGAGTCGTGACATCGCACGCTCCCAAACATATATTCAACTGTCAATAAATAGCATAAGAGAACTGTGCCCTGAAGATGACAATTTGAAATTGTCGAAAGTCCTTGGCATGTGTCTACCATCTGACAACAACTCGAATATAAGTATCTTATTATTCAAGGAATAGAAAAGCAACATTGAACCAAGTCAGTAACTAGATGGGTGACCGCTGTAGAATACAAGGTGCTGTAAACTTGGATGTGCAGGTGATGTAATGAATAAATTCTAAGAATGAGAAATCGGGAGTCGAGTTCGAATTCCAGTCGAGTTCGTTATATTGACTTAAGCGTATATACCCTTTGGAAAGGTTTGAATCCATCTATTTCCCGCCCAGCTATATTTTAAGTAGTAAGACAGAAAATCATTCTCCCCCAGCCAACCAAAACATAATTACAATCCAAAAATATGTTTCGGCTTTAAATAATATCAAAAAGAATGATAAGCCGTGAAAAATCAATCAGTCAATCAATATTTAATAATATGCTGTGTTAACTAGGGCTACTGTTAAGGGGAAAGTTAATTCAATATTTAATAACACTGGTCTTTCAAAATGTTATATAGGAATAAAGTGTCGTTGTCAACACTGGAGTTTGAACATAGATCACCAGAGAGCAAAAACAGGCGACCCCGTTTTGAATAAGTAGATCACGTGATGGTAAAAGAAATGTATATATGGCAATTAGCGTGGCTTCTCAGTGATCATCATTTCTATACTATCCTCTATTACTCTTCGGATCGCTATTCTCCGTTCACTATACTATTTCTTTATACTGATCACTATACGCATTACTATTCGGAGGTTACTTTTCGAGCGAGTATTATCGAACAAGTACTATTAGTCCGATTGTTATTCGAAGGCGTCTGACACCAGTATCGCTCAACGGCGTTACTATAGTTGTATCTGAGATTACAAAGTTTCTACTACAACGAACCTTACGAAAGTGAGTGTTCGTTGGTATTACAAGAGTAGCAGCGAGTGTTCGTTGATATCACAAAAAAAAGTAGCCCAATTTACTACTTTTTATTTTACTAAATAGGCATTGTCGTAAGTTGAAGAACGAAGATGAAGTGAGAGACTCGTGTAATTTATTTGAAATTTATTTAAAATTGACTGCATTCTGTTGAGTGGTATAACGATAAGAAAGAATATAGGTTTCTTTGTGTGCATGTCGGTTCACTCACCCGCGAGAAAGAAAGAGAGAGAAACTGGGGAACGGGGTGAGGGGAAAATGCAAGGCTAAGAAAGGAGAGAGATGTGCAGTGCGAGCAAGCAGAGATGAGTAACAGAGACCTGATGCGCGTGAGACATTCAATCTCAAGTTCACGTGTCGTATGTCAGGTGAGTTAGTAGGGGGCGACGGCTATCACACTCTGTCAGCACTGCAGCACGCGCATTCAGCCCAGTAATCACGTGGATAATCGAAAAGTTATGATTTGGGCCTGGTTTATGATCTTGAGGTCATGAAAGAGATTATTTCTCTCATTCACATTGGATGATTGACATTTTCTGTATCATATACGATATAACAAAACACCCACAATCACATCTATCTATCTATCTATCTATCTATCTATCTATCTATCTATGCGTCCTGAGTATGACGATAAACTACATCCGCGTCCTGGGTATGACGATAAATTACGTCCAACAGCAAGGCCTCAGATAATGTTTTCGGAAAAATAATGTTGCCAGCTATACGTTTTTGAAACAATAATGTTGCCAACTATATGTTTTTTGGAAAGAATAATGTTGCCAGCTATACGTTTAATAGTACTGTATATTTAATATATGTATAGGTATATGTGTGTGTATATGTGTATATATATATATATATATATATATATATATATATATATATATATATATATATATATATATATATATATATATATATATATATATATATATATATATATATATATATATATATATATATGTATGTATAACGATTTGGCATTAAATGACCTACAGTGGTTGATATGCCATAAAACACAACCAACCAACTAACCAACCAACCAATCTATCTATCTATCTATCTATCTATCTATCTATCTATCTATCTATCTATCTATCTATCCAGCTTGGTGGTTCGCTAGCTATGTGTATTATGGGGCTTGTGTTGGTGTAGTTCATTTTCAATAAGTTCAGCTTCTTTATTTTTTTAGGTTTGAAGGGGGAGAAGAGAAAGGCTCCCTAAGTAGGTTAAGCAATGAGAAGCGAGCAATATAGCCGAAGCAAGTTTTGAATTCAGAGTTTTTCCTTCTCCTAGATTAAAGATTAGAAAACCCAGTCTGTCCTGCTATTTACTCATAGCTGGGAAGAGAAGAGGATTCATACCTTTCCCAAGGCTATTAGCACGTAAGAGAATGGATCCAACTGAAGTTCGAACTCGGCTCTCCGATTCCTCAAACGCTATCTATTACTACAATGTGCCTCTTATTCAGGTCGTGGGCGCTCATGGCTCTCCGAAAATTTGTATCCATTGTCTATTCACACAAGCTGGTCAGAGTAGTGACCAACTTGTTCCTTTTCCTGTGCGTGTCAAAATATTGTAGCCGTCTTTCCTCATTATGTGTTCAAGAAATTTCAGCTCATTCTTTCTTTCCATTTTCCTTAAGATTTCCTTGTTACTTACACACTCCGTACTTAGGATTCTAAGCCTCTTTTTGTAGAACCACACATCTTTTGCCTCCAGTTTCCTTTGCATCTGGGAGTTTGTTTTAAATTCACTGAATTTTTAAGTAAAGTGTGCTCAATATCAAGGCTGGAGTGTTTCTAGATATAGACAGTGTCGATATTAATACTACATAGTGAACGGCAATTTCACGTCTTAAGTGATCACCAGAGTATGCACTTTTGTTCACAACGTTGATTTCTATCTCCATACTCTGTCACCATATATATATATATATATATATATATATATATATTGTGTATTTAGGCATCAATACATCATTTATACATGTTTCTTTAAAGACGGCCGAGAAAGCCGATTAAGCTTTTTATTTAATTTTCTCTTGTGTTCGAACATGTGTCTTCTTTTCTGTACAAAAGAGTATGTAGAAACTGTCCAAATGTTGTGTAATCCCGAGCACTTTCGGCTAAACTTTTAGCCATTATCAAGGATGATTTTATGTTTGCTTTTTAACTGGATGCATGGGTTGTGTGTATATTTCTAGAGTTATAGGGGTGTTTTATTTTCCGAACACAGAACATTTGTACAAAAAAAAAAACTTGTTCGAACACAAGTAAAAATAACTAAAAACCTTAATCGCAGTACATTGCCAGTCGTCTTTAATGATATATATATATATATATATATATATATATATATATATATATATATATATATATATATGATAACGATATACATTTTTATATATCAAGAACGGTATTGAGGAAATTGTAAGAGAAAATGGTAAAAGTTTATCTGTGACACGTTTTATCCGTTAGGACCTCAACGTCAACAAACGCAGTTTGACGAAGTCGTAACGGATGAAACACTTCACAAATAAACTCTTTTTCCATTTCGCCTGACAAGGCTATATATATATATATATATATATATATATGTGTGTGTGTGTGTGTGTGTGTGTGTGTAAGGGAGCAATGGATAGCGGCTCGGATTGAGTAATTTGAAAGCCGAGTTAGAATTTTAGTCGGATTCATTACATTCACTTATGTGCTAATACCCTTGGAAAAGGTATGAATCTTCCTCTTCTCGCCACCCCAGCAATGGGAAAATAGCAGGACAGAGTAGGTTCTATAACCTTGGGTGGCAAACGGTCTAGGAGATTGAAAAAATCTAAATTAAAAACTATCCTGGAGAAGGTTAAGGGTCTCTTGCCAAAGAAACACCACTTCTACTGTGGCTGCAGTACACATGGTGCTCCTACGACCCTACGTGGCACGAGAGAAAAAATGAAAATAATATATATATATATATATATATATATATATATATATATATATATATATAAAAGAAAGAACAGCAAGATATATAATCCGGGGTTCTTATAGATATTTTTATTTTTTACAAAATAGTGCTCAATGCAAATTTACAGAGCATTAACATTATAAATTAATTGATTTAAAATATTTTTTTTGCTACACAGTTCTAACCATGTTTAAAAAATGGAAGCTAAAAGCCACGAATTTAATTTTGTGATTAAATTAAAGACATTAGTTCCATTTCATCCTCAAGCGAATTTTGAACTCCAAAATTCGCGGAAAAAATTTTTTAAATCAATTAATATATATATATATATATATATATATATATATATATATATATATATATATATTTTTGCACGTCGATTTAACTTTTCTTGGACCGCTAACATTTACACAATATGCATGAAGAACTGAGTACCAACAAAAGAAGGTAAGAAATATTTTCCTATATCATAAACACAATGCAATTTCAATTTTTTCTACTATATAGTCACTTTTTGTACTTGTGAATCAATATATAATTTAAATATTCTCAGAAATATCAATTTTTTTGAAATTCACGTTCATTCTAATTAAGAGACGACAAAATGCAATAAAGGCTACATTGTTCACTTTCCTCAGTTTGAATGTTTACTCTCATCAAATTGTATTCTCTAAATTGAGAAAAGATTAATCTACAAGAAAGTTATATCCTCCTGACATCAATTTAAACAGACGCCTCCTTTTTTTCACATATCATGATCAGTTTCCTTAAAGATTGGATTTTCTAGATTTCAGATGATTTTCCAACGAATTTCAGTGAAATATTCAGATTACAAACGTATAGTTTATAATTATAGTTTAGATATATGTAAAAAAAAGAAAGAAAAAACAACAGATGGTGTCAGTTTAAACTGACAACAAGAGTAAATGGATTTAACTGACCCATACCTTTTTCTATCTCGTCTCAGTCCATCCTTCAAATCTACAAATCTACCATTCGTCATTGCATTAAATACCGTTACCATATATGGTCCTGTGCCCACTTTGTTCATCTCGACGTTCTTGAGAAAATCCAGAGACGAATATGTAATGTGATAGGTCCTGATCTGGCATCACTTTCTCACAGACGTGATCTGGCTTCTCTCTGTATTTTCTACAAATATTTTCATGGCAATTGCTCTGACAAGCTGTTTTTACTGGTGCCCAAATTGCATAAATTTAAGCGTGCTACTAAGTTGGCATCTCGATCCCACCCTTTTACTGTCAAACAGTTAAATGTAACCGCCTCTTCTACTCCAAAAGCTACTTTTCTCGCACTTCCCGACAGTGGAAATCCCTTCCTCTTACTTGCTTCCCTGATAGCTATAATATTCAAATGTAATGTCAATCGACATCTTCTGATGCCTTGATATTGATCCCCGTCCTTCTCTTTATCCTTTCCTCAAACACCCCTCTTTACTCTTACTTTCACTCTCTGTAACCCCTCTCTCTTTTCTCTTACTTTCACTCTCTGTAAGCCCTTGCGTGCTAGCGACACTCCCGCCTTGCTTGGGGTGAAATGATTAAAAAATATATATAAACAATTTTTGCTTAGTTTGTACTTTCGTGATTTCAGATAAAAAATATTAGAAAATACCCAATATATAAATAAGGAAGAAGGGTTTAATTATTGTATATAACTATAGTAGTACTATGATTTTATGCAGTCTTCTATAATTTTCTGGAGCTTTCTACAACTTTCTGGAGCATTCTAGAAGTTCCTGGAGCATTCTAGAATTTTATGGAATCTTCTAGAACTTGATTTTGTTTATTTGTATGTAATGCTATAGCTATAAACTGTTAAATGCGTTAAAAATACATAAGTACACTCAAATTACATCATTAACAAATTGAAAAATAAAGCTTCTGTAAGTGTTGTTAAGGAGAATATTTTAATATAAGTTTAGACTTGGCCGTCGGACGAAAGATATAAAACTACTCCGACATCAAGAGGAGTAGCAGGAGCAGCAGTAAAAACAGTAACTTTTGCTAAAAACAGTAATTCAGGACTAAACAATCTCTTTCCAATTTTCTATTCTAAATTATGTTTCCCTGTACCAAAATGTAATAAAATTGCTGTTACACAAAGTCCGGTTTTTAATGTTGTTTTTGATAACTCACTTACAACAAGTTTGCAATTTTTTTTTATTTGTAAGGTTGAATGCTATATCTATAAGCAGTTAAATGCGTTAAAAATACATAATAATGATTGCGTTTAAGAAGACACTGTCTGTTGCGACTAGATGTTGACCTTAGTGTCCACTTTTTTATTTGCAGACGCTCTATCACTGATATTGAGTACAATATCACACAAAAATAGCATAACTTAAAGCTATATTTTTTATCACACACAGTGTGTGTGGGGGAGAAGGAAACGTGTCAGTT